CTCTCTCTCTCTCTCTCTCTCTCGATGTGTAGCTCTGGTTTCACAATAGGACCCATCGATCAGAGCACCACAGATCGCGTCATTTATCATCGGCTGAAGTGCCCGATCCCATACCCGAAGCCATGAAATTGCATTCAGCCATTCTGTCTAATGGAGAGGTCGATATCGGAGACATTAATCTGGCAGATATGGACCCCGAGGACATCAGAGTACGTGTAATTCTATACCACACCACAGACACTGACATACACTAACATAACCATACATTAGATTATACACATAGACCCTCATGTATATTATATTAGTCTAATAATATATTAGTCGTCTAATAAGCATCCCTTGTGTATTCAAAAGCCACTAATAAAATAATGTCTGTTATTATTATTATTATTATTACATTATATAATGCAATGACAGAGAAGTTGTGGACTTTTATTAAGTAATGGATTTTCTGTGCACTCCATGTATATGTAAATATCGGGGACACAGAATTCAAACAACGATCCCATTCATCATTTACCAAATCGATAACAATTCCCACACAAACTATTCAAACAATCGTTACAAATACAATATATATATAGAAATTTTTCCATACAAGTCATATACAGTATATATAGTTTAAGTTAATTAATGAATTGAATTACAATTGGTGTACACATTGTGTTATATAGTCTGAGTTACGGCGGGTCTACACACAGCTCCAGGTGTTGCGGAATAAGACGATGCGAAAGGACAACCCGCACATCAGTAAGCGCAGGGGTGGCCGCAAAACGCACCGCCGATTCTCACTGCAGCCCTTCCATCACAAACATAAACAACACGAACAAGAGATGACCGAAATCTCGCGGACGCCCGAAGAGTCGACGGCGAGTCTGGAGGGCACCACTTCCTGTCAACCGGACGGCCCGTCCGTTGCCGCCCGCTTGGCGTCGGCGACCGCCGTAATGGCCGACACGGAAGGGATGGGCAGCGGATCCGTCAAAGTATCGCATATTAATCGAAGTCATTGAAGAATATTCTGCGAAGAATTTTAATTAATGAATAAATTTTATTTGTTTTTTTTGTGTTTATTATGAAACTTATTATGTGTTTAACACAGAATTTCACACGTTTTTAAAATTTTACTGTATATTTCACTCATTAATTTTTGTTAATATATACATACAGTATATTAATAATTATATTATATATAGTTATTATAATTAATTATAATATTTGAAACAATTTTTGGGTATTTCAATGTATATATGAATATAATATTACTTTTCAGAATGAATAATAATTTTAGGCGAGAATTCGTATGAAAAATAAAAATGATTTCAAATTACTATTAATATTCTCAACAAAACTAATAAAGACTTAATGTTATTATAAAACATGAAATGAAAAGACACAGACACACAATGAAATTGAATTTAATTAGTGAATTGTTTTAAACATCTCTTTTTTAAAACTATTGTCTATACTATTCGTTGTATTATATAATTGTAAATATAAATCATAACATAATTTATAAAATTATAGACAAATGAGTTATAAATTGAATAATACTTTAGGGCTTAGAGTTAGTGACCGACAGAAGAGCTAATGGGAAACGAATTGATTTTTGGAGACAAGATATTTGTTATTAATTATGATTATTAATGCCTTAACAATAACTTTATAATTCATATATGAAAATAGTGTAGTGTATGGGAGAGAGAAAAATAGATAGGGAGTAAGAGAGACAGTGAGAGAGATAGGGAGGGAGAATGAATGAGATGAGAATAGGTCAGAGATTTTCACCATAATAAATGATATCGTTTTATTTCATTTTGTTTTGTTTCGCCAAAACATGCGATAAACAAAAGGACCAAATATTTATATTAATGATTAAATAACTTTATTATATTTCGGTTAATATTAGTTATTTAAGTAAATCAATCCGTTTGACACATAATATCATTTGTTTTCCAAAACATCAATAATAATAATGATTTGAAATACAATTTTTTTTGTTAATTTGTATGATATTTATTTATTTACACTTATTTTGAGAGATATTTGAATAATAAAAAAACTAAAAGAATTGGAATAATAAACAATATATTTCTGAAATTCATTGCAAAGAATCTGTTTTCTATTGATTGCATTATTGAGAGAGAGAGAGAGAGAGAGAGAGAGAGACCAGGAATAAAGTGGTGGATATATTTGTAGTCATATTGGATTCGTGAGCGCTATCTCTGTCTCTTAGCCTTAGATTTCAAAACCAATGACTGGTTTTGTAGGAAATTAAACGAATGACAAAATAAAAAAAGTTATAAAAGCTTTCTTGGGTTCGGGCGAAACACTCAATCTCTCTCTCTCTCTCCCACTCACTCAGTCACTCACTTTCTCTCTCATATGTCTCACTCACTCACATCTCTGACTTTATTCAAACAATAAGTCAAATGAAAGTCCCTGAGGAGCATCTCATT